ATCATCAATAGGTAAAAAGAGAGACAGCCAGGAGCAATGTGATGATGAACGATTGAGAAAAAAAACTCTAAATCAAAGTTACTTTATTATTATCTATCTATGAAATTTAATTATATATACATGTACATAACATCCCTTATAGAGGATGCTATGTATTTTCATTGTCAAAAAATTAATACTTCAAATTTTGGATTTTAAAAAATTATGTAATGTACATGTACATAGCTCTACATTGGAAACAGTAAAGTCCTCATAATAGAGTAAGTTAAGATTAATTTTATTAAAATTACAATTGTTTGTGACAACTCATTCACAAAATTGATGTGCAAATACTTAATCTATGAAAGGTACATCCTTATTGTACTTATTTAGTATCACTTTTTAAAATACAGGAAGCTAGCATGGTTTGTTGACGTCAGAATATCTTTAAACAAGGTATATTTATTATGATTTAATGTTATTATTATTATTAATTTTTATAGGCGCATACATGTGTACCTCAGACTGACCAGCAAAAGAAGAAAAATATCACTTGAAGTAACTCTTAAAAGGTAACTACCATGTACCGGTATCTCCCCGTTAAAGTAAGTGGGTGTGGTTTGTTAGTAGAGCTTATGTTTTACTCAGGCTGAAATTTTTTGGAAATTTTGATGGGACTGTTTTACCTACTGCAAAGCATGGATACATGTAAGTAACAACTATATACCTATACCTCACGTAGGTGAGGCCAATATTTATGAGCAGCAGACAATTATTCAAATAATGAATACATTTATTTGTTTGATCATTAAAAATACATGTACATGTAACCAAAAAGTCACTCATGTTTCACTATCGATACTGAGGCCACTGTCTGTGCTTGGAAAAGATTTTTGAGAAACTTCAAGTTTTTTTGATGAGATTTTTATTGATACTTTTCTTTTAAGTTTTGAACTAAGTACTCTTTCAGAATTTCTCTTGCGATGCTCTATTCTTTCCTTCATTTGTACATCTGATTTAAGTAAATCAATTTCTTCTAAAAGCTGCTGAAATTTATCTTCAAAGGCTTTACTCTGTACAGAAATCGTCTCATTTTGATTTTCTAACTTTTCTTCATAGTACTCTTTAATTGCATGAAGGTTCACACTTTCTGTTGCTTTTGACATTGCAATTTGTACAATGTAGTATGCCTTGTCCCTCAACTGCTCTTGTCGAATCTTCAACTGGTCTTGTTCAATCCTCTTTACTTTTTCCAGCAATAAAAAGTACTGACACTGCAATTCATCTTCTTCCTCCTCTACCAACTCTTCTGTTGATGCTTCTCTCAGTCTCTCTGCTATTTCCATTGTATATGAAGGATTTTCAATTGTTATTCCGTTTTCTTTAAGTCTTTTCATATATTCTTCATTGCTTAGGAATCT